TGAAAGTGTCATCGAAATCGCCGTCGTTCAGGAACACGTAAGGATAGTGGAACCATCGGTTGAAATGTCTCTCGATTGACTTAAGCGACTGGATGACGCCGTCTAATTCCTTGTTCCTAGCGAGAACGACAAACGCGGCATTTGCACGTTTGCCCTCAACCTCCTTCTCAACCTGCAGGCATCCAGAGGCGAAGACCTTGTCATGCTTTTCACTTATTTTTCTGAAAAGTACAACAGAGTTGTCAGTGATAGGGGATATCGAGGGGTTTGCGCGAATGTTTTGAGGATTATACTAACCTTATGGATGGGGGTGTACCAGCTGGGATTAAGATGCCCCCGGGAGAAGAAGGGTGTCGGACAAAAAGAAGCAAAACCAGGACTATTACAAGACATGGAAAGAGTAGAACAAATCCCAAGGGTATAGAAATCGATGAATTGCCCTTCAAGCGTATTCTTCTCTTGAAGAACGCGAACCTAGAAATGTTGCGGCCCTTTTCGCGCGAAACGTCATCCACAGGGAGACTCGGCGAAGAGGGCAGCCATTTTGAGATTCGCTGCGTCAACCCCATGAGCGCAAGGGTGCTCACTCTGCGTCGATTCAAAAGAGATCAAGCCAAGTAATGTTAACAGAATCCACTGAACATGGAAAGGATTTTGCGGAGATCCGGGGAAGACTGAGTCAATGACTGCCGTATCTGAGCGAAAATCGGGGCTGCTGAAAGGGGAACGGTTCGCATGCAAGCAACAGTGAGGTCAAACCACACTTCTAATGCTAACAAGATACGCTCCAAGTATATGATATCTTATGCGATTAATAGGTTTACTAAACGAGAAGAGGTAAAAATGTTGGCCGGCGAAAGAAAAAAGGAACAATAAAAAAAGAGCGGCCGGAGGAAATGCCTCCTTTCCAACTTTTCCCCTTTCAGTTGTCGGCCAGATAGAGATGGCGAGGGGAAACGTTGACAGCAACGCAGGGGACTGATGTCCTTAGCAATGAGGCCGGGAACACGGAGAAAGTCGACGAGCTCATCAATCGCGTTGGGTTGGAAGAGGAACTCGGGTGGGAGGTCGGAGACTGCGGGAGGCAATCGATGAAATGAAAGATTATTTTGGGGATGGGGATGGGTGGAAGTTTCGCCAAGGCCAAGGAGGCGCAAGCGGCCATGGTCACGGACGGTAACTTACCCTCTACTAGATTGGAAGGTCGCAGCTCTTTCATACGATTCTAGTACGGGTCTGAATACCGTACACGGTATGGACCCTCCGGAGTCCGGACAGCACGCACCAAGCAATTGTTGGTGGTAAATTATTGCTTAGGCGCAGTTCGCCCATCAAATTGATTACTAAAATTACCAGCAAAGGAATAGGATGGCGCTTGAGTCTACTATCCCAGTTTTTCTCTCCCTTATTCATCAAACTCGGTCAGGGATCCTCTCATAGTGGCTTTCAGTACGCACATGTATGGCAGAACCCGAAGCTTAACTGGCCTGCAGGACACGTACGCCTTCACTGGATTAGCCAGTATTTACTTATGCTGTTGCATGATAATTAGTTCCTCGGTATGTACCATCATTCCAAGAGGTATAAGGGCACCACTGGAAAATTTTCTCTTTAAACTTCCGTAAGGCCTTGGCTTTGTTGTTGCCATTATTCGACACTAAATTAGTAGTCCCGAGTTACGATTACCTATTAAGCGCCCCAATTGCACCAGGGGGATAACAAGATTGGAATAAGTACTCCAGACTACTAGTATAGGAAGCCTTGTTATTATTACAAGTTGACGGAGTACTGTAAACATCCCCAAAGCATGGGATTGATTACAAGAACATTAAGATACCACCAAGGGATAAATACAGACCTACTCCGTAGTTATACATAACAACTGAGTAAACACCAAGAGCAATTAGGGAGATTGCTCTACAGAGTTCGGAAAGAGTAATCACATAGAATTTTCTTTTCATCACCTGCCTATCCTTCGATTCGGCATGATCACGGTTGTCCACGCTGTCGGTCACAGAAGGTTACTCTAATCCATGCCAGCCTCCATAACTATAGATGTTGCAGATGGTATATATATTTGATAGCAGGAGCCTCAGGTATAAGATAGCTTTAGTAGCTAGACAATGAGCTGAATGGGCTCACACACAACATAACAGGCCTTAATACAAATGATTGTGGGATATGTATTGACCTAAGATAGACCTGTCTGGCACCCATCAACCCCATTTGAACGGTTGACCCATAAGGACTCGGCAGGATATCATGTATTGATGCTGTACACAAGGCCGAGCATAAGGCGTTGGAAAGAGGTAATTGTCATACCATTGTACTGTGGACCGGTAATTTATGCATCCAGAACCCTGAAGCTCCACATGTCTCCACGTGACCGTCTTGGCACTAAAAGGGATCTGACAATGTGGCCTTTAAGCCCCGTTGGACAGTCGATGTGCAGCAGGGCATCACGCCGTACAGTTAAGTTGATCATTCTTCCACCGTTAATGGCACGATCTATATGACTTCTCATAGACTGTCGCATCTAGACTCGAATGTCATTGATCATCTCATCCTTGCATTGCATCAACTAGCAGCTGTATTACGATAGCCATCGTGCAGCATCCATTTCACCTTGGTCATGATTGGGTCAATGGAGCTCTGCTTGATGTGTCGGTCCAGGTGCATCGATTCTATGTATGTACTAACGTCTCGTGTATGTACGCGGCCACCAAGAAATCCCGTAATACCCTACTACTAGTAGTACTACCTGTAGGTACACGAAACATGCATACATATTACAGAGTGCTTGGAGCTTACCGCTCTTGGCCCTTCGGAAATTCAATCTCAAATTAGGAAGTTGTGTCGGCCCGGTATATTTGTTTGATAATATTCTAGGGCTTTTTCGCTGTGTGTACTCCATACTCAACCCGTCAAGGTCTTTCTTTGCTAGGACTAGTACTTCCTCCGTGAGCATATAGCTTATTTAATTGCTCTATGCTAGCTATGCAGATAATATGTCACCTAGTAGGTAGTGCTGTACATTACGACCCTGCTTTCATCTATCTGTCTAGGTAACCGGAGGCCCTGTGACACATGACTCGTTATCTTCTGTCTCACGGATAATCATTGGTTATCCAATATACTGTATATGCGTGACCAGGCGCTTCCAAAATCAGTCCCACTGTCATATTACTAAGAACATATCTCACTATTTCCTTGATCGGTTCTTCGCCAATTCACCTATCTTCGTCAGTTTGAAGACCCGAATAGAGCTCAATCACATCGGAGATGATCACGCGAGATTAGGGAGGACTAACTCTATCGCCAGTACTAGTATAACAAACCACAACACTAGGATCCCGAAATCCCACTGAGGAACCCGAGGGTTCAGCTCCTAGACTAGTTTGATGCACGAAAAGTAGATTTCATTTCAGTCTGCTCCTAACAGCCTATGCGGACAAGGTATATGTTGTTTTCAATATTCCACCATGGTAATGGTCTCCCAACATGAGTCTGCAGCAGCTCTATGCTTGTACTTGGATTGAATGATGTGTTAGTCTTCGCTCTAATCCACTCTCCTGGAGGTCTCCTAGTGAAGACAAGATCCTATCTAACATAATGGTGACTTGATGTTGAGCAACAGGAGCAAGACAATCGATTTATATTATCTGTCAGTTAGAAAAGATAGTATAACTGTTGAACGGAGTAGATTGATTAAGTATGCCGACGGCAACCCCCATTTTCTAAGAGAAGCCGGTTCACCTACCATGTTCAGGACATTTCGACTCGATAATGATCTCTTTAATTTGGGTGACTCTATCCTGAAGAGGGCAAAAGGGGGGGAGTTCGTATCCAAGTAACCGACGATGGCTCCTCAAGGTCGATGACCAATAAATATTGAGTAACTATTTACGGAGTATTTCATCCATGGATCCATGATCCAAGGGAGACCAAACCCTCGTGCCGGCAAATCGGCAAATATCGTCTGGCTCTCGGTCTCTCGCACTAGAGAAAGGGGTAAAAGGAGAATCAATCCACCGAAAGTCTAGTCCGTTGGTTCAACGTTAGACTATTGCTTAGCTTGGTGATAGTTCTGTGAGTTAACAAGCGAGTGGACTGGACTTGAATTAAGTACAGTGGACCAGTTAACTATACTTGTTGTAAATGTGGTGACAGAGGAAAAAAAAGAGGGTTATTCCCCCCCAACAAGGGTATTGAGATATGGTTCAATAAACCGGAATCTCTCTCTCTCTCTCTCTTATACGCTCCGTAGTCTCTCCAAAAAAGGGATTCCATCACGTGGGGGAGGGAAATGACCGCTGATGACCAAAAAAAAAAAAAAAAAAAAAAAAGAAGGATAAATTGATTGACGGATGAAACAGCACCTGCGACAATCATCCACCGCCCTTACTTTGCTAAGATTAACTCCTCCATGACCTTTGAAACGTCCATGCGCCCCTGTGCGACAACTAAAAAAACAGTCTAAGTCTCCAATCGTCTCAACCACCAGACATCACTCTGCAGCGCGCACATGCTCGAGTAACGGGCGCTTGCTGAAGCACTTTCGGTCGGGAAATTCTATGTCTTCATCTATCCATACGCTCTCCGTTTCTTTTTCTTTTCTCCTGCCGCATTTAGTTCCAAGTCGTCTCTCCGTACGGCGCTGCTCTCGACACAGCCTCTCCATCATGTCCTGTTGATAACCTACGACTTGACCCCTTGACTTATACTGTAAGATCATTATGATTTGCTACCCGCCCTTCTTCCTTTACTATACTTTCTGTCTGCACCTTGTCAGCCTGTATAGTAGGCCCCCATTTGTTATATATGGAGGCTCACACACGCACTCTCTCTACTAGTTGTTTGTCCAGATGTGTCAATATATGCTCGCTGCAACTACAAGTCCATTAACGTTACTATATCTGCATCGAAAAACCTGAGCTGTACTAGATCACGAATTGTACTTGATTTCTACATCCCACGACCAATAAACCCCCTTCTTCGATATGATGCACCAGCCGTTGACAAGCTCGTGCCCATCGACCTCGGAGGGGCATGTCAAAGCCCCGGCGATTCATTTTCCTGACGGCACCGTCAAGCAATCTACTCTACTCCGGTCTCCGACCGTCCATCGGAATGGACATGTCAACCTAGACACATTCTCACCGGTTAATGAAAACGGAAGCTTCGAATTCGATCGTGTCTTGAAAACTGGGAAGGTGCATCGTCGGGTCAAACATAAACATGTCAGCCTTGCCCCCCATCCATCTTGCAACCCACCACTGACTCTGGTCGATTAGGCATTCAGGGCCTCCTGGAAACAAGCCTATCTCGTTCTCCGCCCGAATCTGTTATCAGTCTACAAAGATGAGGAAGCAACAAGGTTGCGACTATCCATTACTCTATCAGAAGTAACCGCGTCGCTCCCGTTAAATCTCCTCGGTCAAATCGCCAGCACGTTTTTGGCATATTTTCCCCATCTAAGAACTATCGCTTCCAGGCTCTGTCGGAGAAAGATGCGCAGGATTGGATCGAGCGCATTCGTGCCGAAACTCGCATGGACGAGGAGGAGGAGGCGTTTCTGGCCCTTTCCATGAAAGGAAACAATACAGCGTCTAGCAAACAGCGGATTGATGATACCACTGATTTTTCGGATATTGAGCATATGGGAAGGGCCAGCTCGCCTGAATTCGGACGAGCAAGCTCCCCTGGAGGACGTCTCACTGCCCACCAAAATTTCTCGGGACATGACATTACATCTTACTCAGAATGGTCCGATGGACCAGCGAGCAACTCCAGTGCTCGCCCCGTTTCAAGAACTTCAACAATTCCTCACTTATCTGTGTCTACTCCACCGAGTGCACAGCCCGTCTCTGCGCGCGATACAGATCGGACTCAGGAATCAGGTGCTCGACGTGACCCGGAGAGAGTTATCTGTAATGGTTATCTTCAATGTCTTCGCATCAAGGGAGGAGTCCGCCAATGGAAACGACTATGGGTTGTCTTGCGTCCAAAGAGCCTTGGTTTCTATAAGGATGAACAGGTATGGATATTAATCCTCTCGGTTTCTGCTATATTTCAAGTACTTTTCTGCCGTATTGGGCGTACTAGAAGAAAACTGACAGGCTATCTTCCACAGGAGTATTCCGCCGTCAAGATCCTTCCCATGGACCAGGTATTCGATGCCGCGGAAATTGACCCAATATCCCGTTCAAAACTCTACTGTCTCCAAGTCATCGCAGAGGAAAAATCATATCGTCTATGCACAGACAATGAAGAATCCTTAGCAAAGTGGCTAGGGTCCCTAAAGAGCGTTTTAGTCGCTCGCAAGAAACTTGACTCAGAGACTGCGCCAGGAGTGGCGGCGGCGGCAGCAGCCTGAACAATTGTATGATACTAATCTGACGGATCTGGTAACAGTCCGATTGTCGCTCTCTTTTCCCACTCCCTTCACTGTGTCTCTCTTTGACAAATTCTCTTCATTGTCGAAACACTGGGCATCTTATATACCTTCACATCAACTGCAATCTCTTTTCTCATTGTGATCTTTTTACGACATACATACCCGACTTCACTGATGATATAGATCTTCTTTCTTCTTTCTTTTCCCCTTTGGCCAGTCTGAAACCCCTGGCTCTGAATAATGCTGATAATGTTGGTTTTGCCGATGTTTATTTAATCCCATATATTAGTGTTTATATTTGGACACCAAAAAATCACCCGCATAATCAATGGTGGAACAGGTATTAAGCCGCAACACTATACTTTCCAGTGGCGGGTTGGATAATTTGTGCCCATTATTGTTTTCTCTTATTTGCGAAATGATAGGGCCCTAGTATAATCGTATGTTCTTTTCTACTATAAGGAAAATAGAGGATAATTTTTCAACGAATTGGCAATTTGTGTGTATATATACCCGTTATTCTAGACTAACTTTAATATAATTAGCTGCCCTGAGATCAGATACATCACCTCCCCGTCTCTTCTCCGGGAATGGCATCATAGTCTGCCGTTGACGCTTCCTCGTAATCTTTCTCCTTACTTTCATGGTTCACGACCAAGAACGACAGGAACACGATCGCAGCGCCGACCCAATACAGCGCGCTCGACGTTATGCCTTGGAGGAAGATCTGGCCCACAAGGGAGAGCGGGATGGTCAGTGAGAGACCGACGGTGACGACAAGAGGAGTTGTCAAGAGCATAGCGTAGGCCCAACAGATGTCTGACAAGAGGGAAGATACGGAGTTAACCTTAAGAAATCAGACATTAGTATAGTTCGGATATCATGCATAGGAGAGAGCAACGGGAGGAAGTTAGTACCAAAATGATAGTCCAAACTGTGCCTGTGTCAGGGAGTGCAAATGTCTCAAGACCAGTGAAATGCATGATAATGAAACCGGGCCAAAGGAGGAGCATATTAATGAGTCCAACGAGACCAAAGAATAACTGCATGTTCACTCGGGACTCATCTCCGACTTGCTTCTTTAAAACAATCGTATACACTCCGTACATGACTGCGCTGAATCCGGCCATAGCATCACCGAGGGCGATCTCGGTGGAGCTTTTGTTCGGAAACCTGCTACCGCTGCCATCATCTGCAGGGGGTGCTTCTGATGCAGATAGATCAACACGGGATATCAGAATAATTCCCACCAAAGAGGCGACGACGCCGGCGAGTTTGCGGACGGTGAACTTTTCAACACCAATGAGTGCGCCGAAAATCAGGGTCCAGACACCTGTAGCCACAGACGTTAAAACTTCTACTCAATGTTGATGTGGTTGATTGATGCATACCGCTGGTAGAAGTCAAGATGGTGGTGCTGCCTACGGTCGTGTATTGCAGGCAAGCCAAAGCAAAATAGTTTGCCTGATTGCGCATTACGCGTCAGATCAGACGAAGTAGAGTATTCCGCACTCTCGAGTTACTTACAAGGAACTAAAATGGGTTAGTACAGCTGTATAGGGGTTTGCACATTGGACAGATTCTTACCCATAACATGCAAAATTGCAGGCTTAACTTTGCAGTCGCCCTCAAGCCCAGCTTGACAGACTCCTCTTCTTTCCCTCCCGAATCCAACGTAGCTGCGTTCCATGTTTCAGGGTCTACGGGCTCGTAAGCGTTGTCCCGCCCTGTTGTTTCAGCATCCGGATCATGTGAATCAATGTGCCGCAAGAAACTTTGAAACGAGTGTATCTGGGAGAGCTTTCCCGAGCGCCATAATCTCCAGATCCGGCCAAGAATTATCGTAAAGAGAGGAAGCATAAAAAACGAGGTGTTAATATAAGTCACAAAGAACGGTTTGGAGTACGTATCGTCGGCGAATATCGTCTGGGACGCAGGTCAGTATGTTCGCGACTCAGGATGAAGGCACACGGAGAGTAGAGGTGCTTCCGTCAAGATGTTTGTGAGGGACTATCATACACTAGCCAGGAAATTCGAAGCCGTCCACAGGACGACTACAATCAGAAGCAACCCAATGCCAAGTGTTCGCCTTGCGACACCAGTGGACATTCTAGTAAAGGTATCCATGGAGAATATCAACCAAAGAAACTATGTACAAATGATCGAAGGGTGGGGACGCCGTTGTGAAAAAAAAAATTCGTCGAAGCTCCATGCATCAGGCTTATCAGTCGAGTACTTTACGCGCTTCGGACTTGACCGGAGATGCCAGAAGTATCCCGTAATGCCGGTGCTCACGACAACGAAAGATTTCAGGGTGGATCACGGAGCACAATTGGGGAAAGACAGATAGAGCTCAGCTGGGCCAGCAGATGACGCGACCACCCTGCGAATTAATCATGGGATGTCCAGAGTCAAATGGAAGGGGGGAAGAAACAAATGGGGTTAACCCCAGACCATGGACGATAAAGTAGTTCAGCGGAAGTCCCACCGCCCAAAGGATCACGGGATGTCACCATTGTCCACTGCGCCTTTGGGAATAGATCGACAGGGTCCCGGACATTTATTGTTCCCCCATAGTACATTACATAGTACGTGTCCGTGGTTATACTACTCATACTCTAGCAACCCTAAAATCAAGTAGTTGTCATACTCCGAAACAATATGATTAGACGTTGGCTGTAAACACTAGGAAAAAGAAAACCCGATTGCTAAAAGATATCCCCGTGCGACCCAGCAGCCAAAGCATGAGATAGGAACTTCATACCTGAAGTATTCCCAAGATATATAGGCTCAGCATTTGGGGGAAACAGTCCGTTCCCCAAGCCCGAGAACAAAATAGGAAACAACAGCATCTCTACAAAAGAACTCAGAATGCAAACAGAAAGCTGCAAATCTCGGCCATGGATTGTAAATCATTGAAAAGTCATGTCCATCCGTAGGGTATCAACAGGCACATCCATCGCGCTCACTATCAAGGTGGATGTTGATAGGGTCACTGAATTCACCACTAAATTCTTCGGCCTCTTCTTGTGCCAAAGCACTCCTAGCGATGACTTGCGTGTGCGTCAGCATGTGGCAGGAACACGAAGAACGAGCTAGCTGTCGAAGAGGGCCGACTTACCTTCAAAAGCCTGCTCAACGTTAACAGCTTCCTTGGCACTGGTTTCGAAGTAAGGGATGTTGCCCTTAGATTGGCAAAACGTCATTGCGCGTTTCGAGGAAATCATTCGCTTGCTCTCCTCAACATCGATCTTGTTACCAATAACGACCTATTTCGTTGTCAACCTTAAAAATCGGAAATCAAAAGCGGTGGGAAAAAAAGGAATAGCTAAGTAGGCAAACATACGAAAGGGAAGTTCTCAGGGTCTCTCGGACTTGCTTGGATAAGGAATTCGTCTCGCCAGCTGTCCAGAGCCTCGAAGCTCTTGGAGTTGTTCACATCGTATACCAAAACACAGCAGTCGGCTCCTCGGTAAAATGCAACACCCAAAGATTGAAAACGTTCTTGACCCGCAGTATCCCAGATCTGTTTGTCACAGGTTAATCACCCGCTTTGTGGTATTGAAAACTGGCGGGACACATGCCTGCATTGTTACCAGTCGGTCGTCTACTAGAACTTCCTTGGTAAGGAAATCCGCACCGATTGTTGCCTTGTAGCTGGCGCTGAACTTCTTGTTGACCTGTTTGGCGGATATCGTTGTCAGCGGGATACAGTACTACGCAAGATTCTCCTGCACTGAAGGTCACGGACATATTGGTTCATTAAACTCGTTTTACCGACGCCGCTATCACCAAGAATAATAACCTAAAGGATGATGTATACGTCAGTAAGAGTTTAGCCGTAATGTTGGTATGGTGACCTTACTTTAAGGAGAACCTTCTTCCGTGACGACATGGCTATGGCTATGAGAGGTAAGGCGGTATGCGCGGTGGGAGATAATAGGAAGCGGCGCAAATGAAAAACGAAGGAGTGAGCGGCTCTTTATGAAAAATGGAGATCTGGGGGGTGTTGACAGTTCTCCCTATCCTAGCAAATGGGTGTGAAGTAGCTGAGGGAGGATGAGTGTGAGAGAGAGAGAGGACCGGAGTAGTAGTTAGCAGTACTAGTCTTAAGTTGGACGGTAACGAGCCGAAGCTAATGGGAGGCGGTTGGTTTCGATGATGCATGACGCTGGGGCGGTGGAGCAGGCGGTGTGCACGTGTTGCTGCATCGTCCGATCATTTCATCAATAGTCAACAACGGTTATCTGCACAAGAGGTTGTGCGTGTCTTCCTCTGAATAGCACTTCGAAAGTTTTTGATAAAGCCTTCCATACATCTTCGACTACTAGTAACAATTGTACCGTGTTCCTAATTTGCTCTGTGACTAACCCGTGTCACAATGTATTCGTGACTTAAAGCTTCTCCATTCGACATCGCTTATCGTGATTATCAATGGCCCACTGGAGAGAGGAGTACTCCGCCGCTCTGGCGGCTCGCGATCGACGAGAAAAAGCCAACGTTGCTATCTTAAATGCCTGTACGCCCTGGAGCGTAATACTCCCACGTGGTTCCTCATTCCCACTGACAAATCATTCATTGCTACAGATACCCAACTTGCCGACCGGACCGGCCGTATAGCAACAGCTGTCAACAGTGCCCAAAGCTCTTTCCCGATAGACAGTCACAATGATATCCCCCAACCTCCAGTGCCAGATCCCATGAAACAAGGCGTAGCATTACCGGGACCCTCTCTCCAGGATACTTTAGCTGCAGCACGCACGGATCTATCTGAGGCGCAACGGTCCCGATCAGAGCTACAGGATCGGCTTACTCGCACAACGGCCGAGCTAGAGAAACTGCGAAAACGAAGCTCACAGGACTCACGTCGCATTGCTGTACTAGAAAAAGAAGTTGCTCAGTTGCAACTGCGATTGAAGGATAGGGATGAGGAGTTGAGGGGAAAGGCTAAATTGCTAGATGTAGGACACTTTTCTCTGTACCGGATAGGATATGTTGACTGAGCTATCATCAGGATTTCCAAGACGAGCTTGCATCACTAAACCTGCAGCTCAATATGGCCGAGGAGCGGTCCAACCGGCTACAGAAGGAAAACCAGGAGTTAGTCGACCGGTGGATGGCAAGGATGGGCAAAGAAGCGGAGGCGATGAACGAAGCCTCGCGATTTTCATGATTTTTACGTAATTTGAGACAGCAGAAGCTATTCTGATTGTTTCTAGAGCACTCCCAGACCGGGGTAAGATTGTGGGCTTCGTCAAAGCTGTATGCAGATCTGTATCCACCTTATCTATACCATATTTGCATGATACCCATTTATTCACGGACTCCAATGGCACAACTCAAGCAACGTAATACCTTGTACGACGTGCCACGAAAACCCAGAACATTCGAGGAGAGGCCAGAAGAGGTCCCTGGGCACAACAGGTGAAGAGCCGAAAACAGACATCCCAGAGAAATGAGGAAACCATGCCAACATTTATACAAGAACAGTGGTATCATATCTTCGAGACAAGTAACTATTTCCAAAAAAGAAAGAAAAGATGAAAGGTAAAAAGGTAAGAATAGGGAAATAATACACCGAAGAAAGGTCTACAGGGAATTGTATGTAGTATTTATCAACCCGGGATAAACAAAACGTACCAAAAGTAAGAAGGTAGAGAGTTGCCCAAAACCAGTTTATTGGTAGTCTCGGTGACTGCGTAGCGCACAGCCGGGCATCTACCCCATGCTCTCTGCAAAAGCTCTCAATCTAGAGCTGTCTTTAGTAGCGACGAAATAAGTGCCACCAACGTCGGTCCAGCTGACACTGTTGGACCAATATTCCCTCTGCTTCACCCTGAGAAGATTGATAGGCGAGTTGAGATTCCGAGACTGTATCTTATGGCCTGCAGGGACAAATGATTTGAGGGACACGATCTGACAACCCTCTTTCATGTCCAGGAAGTGATTGATCAACTCGTTATTGAGTTGTGGGGTGAAAGCCTGGTTGTTGATCAAGATGACATCTGCGCGCTTTAGGACATCGATGATACTTTGTTCTTTAAGGAAATCCCCACGAACGAGATGCGTTTTCCCTGGTGCTATTCCCCATAGGCGACATCGAGCCCTGAACTCGGCCTGCTGGAGTTCAGCAAGCTCGCACGCATTCTGCATCATTTCGCAGCCCCAGCTTTCACACCCAATCTCCAGTGCGGCCTGCAAAACAACGTTACCCACACCAGATCCTAGATCGACGAAAACCTGCCCCGACTTCAATCCCGTCTCTTTGAAAATAGTGCTGATGAAACGAGGTAGTAACTCTCCGTAGACATTGTCCGTCCCGTTTTCATATTGACGGAGTGATTCAACCCGAGGTGACACAGTTCGCGAATAGATTTGGGTTAAGATTCTCTCGACGAGGGGCAAATTCAGCCGATGAGTCGAGTCTAATTTTTTGGCGATACTGCCGTCGCGCCTTAGTCGTTCGATCGCATCATTATAGTCCGTTACCACATTTCGAAACTCCGTTTCGGATGCGTGGGCGAGTGCTCTTCGTAGTCTTCTCTTAATCCCGGTTGATTCATTATCAAAATAGCCCACCTCATCTTCCGGTATGTAATGTTGGGATACAGTTTCGATAACTTGGAATATATCGTCGATAGGTCTAAAATCGTCTTTGTCACGGGGTACAACAAGGTTGTATCTGTTGTACGAAGTAGAGTCGTTAGCAAATCCTGCGAGTACCATCGGTGCTAATTTTGCTTGATGTCGTACCTCTCTTTCGGGGAAGCACTTGGATACTGCAAAAATATCTCTGTAGGCCGGCCCGTGCCTCCAAAAGCTGGTTTGAAACACCCCGCCTTTTGGACAGATGTGATGTCGGCTGCATGTACGATCGGCAATGACTTAACTCCTCCTTCTGAGAATGCCTTCAAGGAACGCAACCGCCTCTCAAAATCTGGCTCCGCACTGTCGCCCGTTCTCGCGCGCTTACGAACTTCGAACGACGTATCCGTGTCACTGGAATCGTCATCACTGGAAAGTCGTTGTTCTGGAGTTTGTCGCTTTCGATTCTGTGACGGAGTGTTCAATCGCCGTTTCGAAGATGTAAGGTCTGGATCTCTCGAGACTGACCTGCTCCCCGGTCCTTGCGTTCTCTTCGGCTTGTCAGAGGGCGAGGCACGCGATGATGTGCCCGGAGTCAGTGATGACGCTCTTGAAGGAGGCGTAGGCCGTGTCTGAACGACTTTACGGATTTGAGGCTTCTTTGGTTGTAGAGAGAAGCCTCCTCCTTTTTGAAGGTGGTCAAAGAATCCCATCGAGTAAAGCTGGACGCGCCGCACTCAGGCGGGGATGTACTGTACAAAACCGATATGTGTGAGGGTATATGGACACAAGTTAAAATGCTTGAGGTAACATATGTACTGGAAAGAGCAGCGAAAGAATATTTGAAAGAATGGAATGACCAGCGCGGAAATGCAGAACGAGCTAAAGGAGGGAAGAAAGAGAAGGAAAAGACCGTTGACCGAGCGGAAATGTCAAAGAAAAGAGCCGCGCAAAGCCTGAGCTAAAAAGAAGCGGCGATCGATAAAGGTTCAGCGCCGCCACTCTGGGCCGCATGTCCTAAGACTTTAACCTTAGGCACACCCGCCTTCCGTTGGCTCGGGTCTCTAAGCCGCCCTCCCCGCGTGTACACAGTACTACTACTACTAGTAGTAATACTCCGTCTTCCTCCGTACTCTTAGGGTGACGACAAATTACTTAGCGCATATCTCTTCTTCAACCCTCCGCTGCGTGCTCAAGCCTTAAGCTATCATGATTCTATTCAGTAAACTTCTATCTTTGAGAGATTTTTACTACTGGCAGTTACGCTTCTTCATGCATGTCAAGTGCGTGATTTCCTAGTATGAACATCTACCCACCTGCTCATTCTTCCTATCACTTGAGTCTTGTTGATTGCGCAGCGGGCGTAGCAATTTTGGAGGCTGCGTGAAAGCATCTGGATTCTGATTGGTCACTTAAATTTAATATCACGTGACGTTGATTCTGCCGTTCAGGCTGTTACGAGGTTACGACGATTAATTCCCTATACTTCGATGCCTCCCACGGACCACCACTCCAATATTGACAGCATCCCTTCTTGTGCAAGGTGGATGAATAAATAACATACATAAAGTCTAGAATAATATACTCTGGCAGTGTAGAGACCGGAGATCTAATCTAATTCGAGTCCATCCGCCACAGATAAGCCGTGCTTTATTGTTGGTCGCACAAGTTCAAGTTGTCCTGAACCTCTCTTCCATAGATCTGACCAATGATATCCAACGGGCGCACAACACATGAGCCCTCTTCGCTATTGCCAGAGGGAGAGCGAGTTTGCAAAATCTTTAAACCAGGGCTATGAAGGAAGAGGGTAAAGCGCCCTTGATCCTCACTCGTAAAGATTCGTGGTGAGGGAAACACGCCAACCAGGAGGGGATCAAAACCATGCTGTCGGTCTTTGAAACGCTTGAGGGGCTTGAGGAGCTTTTCTGCGCGGTCAAAGATTCTCCACTCGGCTATATCGTCTACCTGAATCAGTCGAGGGCGACCACTCCTCTCGCCATTCCCATGTAAAGATTTGGTAGCTATCTGATGCAATGCGGGATACTTGATCTCAAAGACATAAGCCATTAGTGCAACATTGCGAAGATCTTTGGGCCTTTGACAATCATCAAGAATATCCAGAAATTCTCGCCACGCCGCCTGATAGGGACGACCCCCTTCAGCACAAACAGAATATCGTCCAAGCTCGGTAATTCCATTCGGTCAAGAACACAGAGACACAAATGCTGAGTTGTGGCTATAGTGCCAGCGGTGACTTCCACCTGAATATCACCGCCCCGTCAACGTACTTCATGAGTAATGGTGTCCCTCAACAAGCCTGCGACTTGCCGATGCCGGCGATCGACCAGCCTGAACCACTCCTGTACGTACTTCCAGCTCACAAGTCCTGCCTGAAGAAGCTCCAATGGGTAGCAGTAATACTGGAGACAAGGCACATCTAACCTCACGACAAATGGCCGAGAGCCAGCTGTGCCAGCTGTGCCAGTGGTAACGGCAAGGTCTGCAATAGGCATTGCCATCCGTGCACATGTTTCAAGTTCATAGAAGTTTCATCCGCACTGTAAGGCAATGGGGGGATGACTGTCTCTCTAGCGCCATCGGAAGTGGATTGTCTATTTGTAGGGATGAATCCAAGGAGCCGAGATGAGAACAGACATATGCCTGTACTCGTCGTGATAGGGCGACAAAGGCCACTCGCGGAGTCCTTCAAGTCATTTATTTTGATATTCGGTGAGCGGCAGTTGACAAATTGATCCAAAGGAGGACCGGTTGGTGTCTGCAGATTGACTTGGGCGAACACAGTGTTCACTATATCTGCTTTTGAGTTTGGAGGTGGCTCCAGTCTACGGCTGTAGGGCGGTTAAGTGGATGGTTTCAAACGTTTGCCATCCCACTGCATACACGCTCTTTGGGCTATTGATGAGAAAGCGTGGTGACTGATGACGACTGCCACTTGTAATAACTACTACGACAGACAGGATATTCATGTCATGTGTTGAAGCCATCGAAACTAGCACCTGCTTTCGCAGTTCAAACTACCTTCTTTCACCCCACCTCTCACTTCACAATCCAGCCCCTCTTTGATCGCAACTCATCGATCATCAATCAAAGAGAGCTGTCAAATTATCCAATCAAGCAATGTCTCCACCTATCAGTCAAACCTACCCGTTCCCGCAACCTACACCACCACTTGCTGTTGAGAGTGAGTATTGGAACGAACGATGTGAAATACGGACAGATTTATTGAAAAAACTGAGAGATCTCTGTCGAGAGAAGTTGGGAAGAGACAGATTTCCTCCCACATTCTGGGCATTTTGCCAGGTCGCCGACCTCACCAAGCTACAGGACATGATCGATGATCTACGGTCGGCCTGCAATACAAGAAGCGCACAGCAAATACTGGAGCCAACTATCAAGGATTCCGATGTTTGTGTTGATCGATGTAAGCCTTCCATATCATACATCGGAGAAAAATCAATCTAAAGCTTCGTCAGGGCTCCAGAATGTAAGCGTTACTAAGAGTTCAAAGTCCGGTACAGATCATTCAGGGCGCTCTGATACAGCGTGCAATAATGTTCGTAATTTTTCATGAATTCCTTGACTTTACTAATAATTCAACAGTGTAAGAAGAGAGATGAGTACAAATGTATTCTGACCGGCATACCAGACCCAGAAGCCGCCCACATATATCCCAGTCGCCTCCTAAAAGCCTCGACACGTGAACCAAGAGCCGTTGGGAGATTTTGGGATATTTTGAATGTCTTTTGGGACGAGAATCGTGTGCAGAGATGGAAAGCAGAAATCTCTGGCAACCCAAATGATATGCAAGAGTCTAAGCATGGATGTTTTAATATGCTGTGCCTCGACAAATACGCACATACACTGTGGGGAAATGGTCTATTTGCGCTCCGACCAATGGAAATCACTAACGATAGGACCCTAAAGGTTCAGTTCTACTGGCAAAGAGGATTATCAGATGCTCTAACTGAAATTGACCTCTTGACGGAACCGGAATCTTCTCGTGGACTTTTTGGTGCCAAGAACCATTCCTTACCGAGGTTTACTGGAAAAGTCATGGACAACAGAGAGCCAGAATACAGAGCTATTGCTTCCGGTGATATTTTCACACTCAATACCAATAATCCTCGAGATATGCCACTCCCGAGTCTAGCATTACTCGAAATACAATGGAATTTACAGCGAGTTGCAGGAATGAGTGGTGCTGCAGAGTTGAACAGCATTTCAGACTCTGACGACCGTGATGCAGACACCACATCCGCTGTAGAGCTCACTCGGAGAATCTACGAATGGTTGGGTCTCTTCACTCATAGCGATGAAGGCTTCGCAGTCCAACAACCGCCGATCGAGGTCCGAAGTATGATGCAGTCATGATATTGCCTCGGCTGAAGACTGTTTTACGCATCAGTGGAAAAAAAAATAAGAAGCGGAAAAAGAGAAACTCAGCCTGCGTTCAGTCATTATGATTTGAGTGTTATGATATCTTCGGTTAGCGAACAGGCTATAGCAGCGAGCGGGGCCGCCTCTGCATTTCTTAAAATGGCACATCTTAGAGCCCCGATATTTCAATTGATTGTCATTCCAACCCATATTTGTCAAGGGTTTGCAGGGTAGCAGAGACAGGTTACCCGGATAGCTGAACTGAATCGGCAACAGTACAGTCAGGCTTATGTTTAGGAATAAACAAGATGTGGCTCGGGGAGGTTCAAATAGGGACGGATGGAAGATAAACAAGTTGTCGGTCATGTAAGTCCTGGCTTGGAGAGTTTATCTTTCATATTGATTATTGAGCTCCAATTTCACGCGAGTGCAAGGTGGAAAGATCATGGTTTTCGGAGTAAATACAGATCACGATCGTAGCAACTCCGTTGTCATCTAGACTTATTCCATAGGTGTTAGCTTCTTTCCCTGTATACTTTACTTTGATGATGGAATCTAAACACATAGCATACGGATCTCACTGGCACAACGATTCTGTACCTGAATATATATAAGATGCTGTAATATGCGGTTTCTATACATACACACCCCTCAAAATGGGTATCAAATTTTGCAACTCAATTACACCGGCGGACCACGACGTATGGTATTCGTCTATATGACCTTCGCTCCCTTTACTTTTGTTTCTTCTTTGCAAGACGCTTCTGGGCTCGGACATCCTTCTTCATCCGGGAATCCACAATCTTATACTTGCCCTTCACTCCGCGTGGACGACCAGAGATACCCCTGTTGTTGCCCTTGGCCACGACCAGCTTCACCTGCTGCTTAGGCTTCTTCTTGGTCGCCTTGCTCATCAACTTCGAAATGGCCTGTGATTTGTCACGTTCGCTGAGTGCCTCATCATCCGCCAGCAATGCAGACTTCTTGCGTAGTTTCTCCAGCTTCTGCGCAGCCTTGAACTTCTTTCGACCCTTTGCTTCCATGACCTTCTTGATTGGTCGAGCGTTAATGGCACGCAGCTTCTCCTTGATTGCAGCCGCAGCAGCCTTGGTGATGGGTCGATTTGGTTTACTGTGCTTCGTCTCGTCGTCGAGGAACCACTCCGGAAGACCGTCAACATCTCGGAAAGCATACCGATTGAACCCATCATCCGTCACATCGTGCGACTTCTTTTCACCACTAGCCATCTGCTGAGCCAGGGCCATGGCCTCCGCAGTGATAATGTCAATGTCTATGTTTATAGTTAGCAACAGCAGAAGCAACCGTATAATCTGATTTAGTAACACTCACCAAGCTGACCATTCTCCTTCCGAGGCTCATCGAGTTCCTCGGGTTCCTCATCCGAAGAGTCCAAGACCATTTGCGTGCCTGCCTTCGCATCCTTTGCCTTCTGCTTCTTTGAAACAGAATCCTTGCTCTCCGTATGGTCATTGTCGTCCTCGTCCATCTCAATGACACTATCCTCATTCTCATTCTCATCCTCATCTTCATCCTCGACGTCATCAATATCCTCTAAGCCCTGGAAGATATCCTGGTCAAAGAACAATGCGGCATTATTAGATAAAGTCCCATTCTTCGGAGGTGCTACGCTCGTCGCATTCGCTGTACCAAATTCGGAGTCCTCGTTATCTGACTCTTCGTTACCCGACTCCGAAAAGCCCTCCCATTCGTCGGCTTCGAAATCCTTCCTGGCTTTCTTGGCTCTTAGTTTCGTATCCTTGTCCTCTTTGCGATCTTGGTATAGCTCGTATAGTGAATCGAGCTCTCTTTCCAGTCGATCGCCTTCATCATCACTCTCAGCATCATCATCGGATTCTGAATCTTCGCTTTCACTCTCAATAGTTACTTCTTTTCCAGCAGCGATCGTATCCCTTGCACCCTCTCTCTCAACACGCTTAAGTGAAAACGGTGCATCATCTCCAAGAGGACCAATTTGCTCCATACCAATATCCATAGGGGTCGTCATATGCATCTGCATGCGGACGATTTCTTTGCGCTTCTTCTCATTCTCCTTCCGCCTCTCCTTTTTCGCTTTGGAGCTTTCCTTCTCCCTAAGGCGCTGCAGTTCCTCCTGAATGGCCAGTTCTTCGTCCATTGGGGCAATTTCAGCCACTTCCTCGGGCTCATCCTTTTTGGCCTGCCCTCCCTTCTTTACGACAAGACCAAATTTCTCACGGACTTTCAATCGCCATCGTAGTAAGTTGCGGAATTCCTTTTTGCCCAGCACTTTCAAATCTTCACAGCATGTGCGAATTTCATCTGTCGTCTCTTCCAGCCGGTTGAGTGTGCTCAGTGCGATGTCTCCATTGAGGGGCTGTTGAAAGCTAAGTTTGTTGTATTGGCCGAGAATGGCAATTGGGTCAGTTGTGTTAATGAAGTCGGTGACGGGTATCTCCTTAAATTGCGTCCAATCGCCTTCCTCATAACCGTCTCTCTTGCGCTTCTTCTTCTCAGGGTCAAATACACGAGCCTCGTTATTTGGGGTTGGATCAGCTAATTCTGCGAATACGTGCTTCGGATCAAGGAACTTAGGGTCCATGCGCTTCGGTGCCTTAAAGCCACGGCAGACGACGAAAATTTCGGCGGAGACATTTCGAGACGAGGGGGGCTTTGTGGCTTCCACCGACGTGAACAATTGTTTGAAAACCCACAGCAACGCATTGTAGTCCTTAGACCGGAAGACTTTGGTGACAAAGGTACCGCCCTCAACAAGGAATTCCGTAGCCAATTTCATCGACTGCAAGACCAGCTCTGCTTGCGAAAAAGCGTCCTGAACCCACGCAGTACCAACGTTTGGAGCACCATCGTGAAGTACTGTATCCGCCTTCCAATGTTTCAGGTGTTGCCTGATAGTTGTGCGACACTTCTCGGTCGTGATATCGCTCTGAAAAGTGATAACTCGTGGAATTGGCTTGATGGGGGCGAGATCGACACCGATGATAATACTCTGAGCGGGCATACACTCCGCAGCCACTTGACACCATGACTATGTACTGTTAGAGAATAATGTTGATACATGAGATGCATCAACACTTACACCTGGTGCAGCACAAAGATCGAGAACGACCTTGCTCTTCTCCAAGAAACCATATTTCTTGTTCAGCTGTATCAGCTTAAACGCAGCTCTAGCTCTGTATCCCTTCTCCTTCGCAAGGCGATACCACTTATCCAAACGACCCTTACCATGCTACTCGCAGTCAGTAAATGAATTAATTATCTTGTATCATTTTTGTAAAATTCTGTAGCGTACCTTCTTCTGGATTGCCATTTCCAAAGACGGGCAGTCGAGGTAGGCTCGACGAAAAGACCCGGATTGACAGAATGATGGTGTCTTGGTAAAAGGGTATTGATATAAAAAACCAGCGCGAGAAAAAAAGTTATCGGTCGCCTGGATCTCGACTCCACACCGCCCGTAAAACAATTTTTTCCCCCTTCTGTCAGTTGTGGCGGTGGCTGATCACTAGCCACACTCCCAACGCACAGTACGTATGTACATAGCCATATACCCCAGGCACCAAAGGCGGTCAGGGATCCGGAATCCATGTGACGTGATATCACCTCTGTTGTCTATTGGGCCGACTAAATCTCTCTCCTCCCTCCGTGGCTTTGACTCGACGCAGATCACCAACAGGCACTCCATGGCTTATCTTCGACTCCTGTAGCTTTGGCGGCCCCTGTCCTCCAAATTTGCTCAACAATTTCTATGCAGTTGATCGTATGGTAATGTTTTATATTCTACTTTCATGGCGCCCACGGGTTCTCGCAAGAGAGTAAAGTCCATTCCGTCAGTTGCGGACTCACAATCGTCAAACGATGGAACGACATTACCGTCGAAAGACAGAGGACGCTCGGGCTCACTGAAACAAGGGGGTAGTGGAGTAAGTTTAAGAATTTCGTATAATTTTACAAAGTGCATTATTCTACTATCCTCTGTGTCTGTACTCTCTGGTAGCTGATTAAGGGTTGTTCTCATAGAACTGGTACCCAGGAGCCTGGCCCGTTTCCAAATCATCTAAAGCGGCCCCAGTTACCGAGGTTGCCCGTGAGAGCATCTCGGTTGCCCAAAACGTAGCTTCAAGCCTTACTTCCTCGCCAGTGTCGCAGCTTGCTTCTCCTAAACACCCTCGACATCCTTCTCTACAACTTACTAGAAAAGTTGGCGCTTCGAGTCGCTCCCTTCCTGCCAACGCCACCACCACTCGAATCAACATCGCATCCGATGGCACCGCGTCTTCACCAGCAATAGAAACCCTGCCCAACCCTACTGCCTCAGCAACTGAGTCAACAAATAAGGAATCGTCAAATGACGAAAGCGCCGGCACGGGAGGAAACGTTGATAACGATCAATCGAATGTTGCGACTGAGACAAATGCAGGGTCTGGGGAGGTAGAAGCGAGTCAGGAACAAGCGCTGTCGCAGCCAAGTGGGTGGTTTTCATGGGTCTGGGCCCCTTCCAGGATTGAAAACCCTCCCGATAACATCCCGGAAGATTCAACTCCAGCCCCAGCGGACAACACCGTGGGAAATCAGACGTCAAAAGAGGAGGACGCTGCACCTGCCAATCAAGATCAAGCAGAGGAAACAAAGCCTCCTGAAACAGCAGAGATTGACGACACAGCACAAAAGCGATCCTGGCTCCAGATGTGGTACGGCTCCTCATCCTCGAAGGGTTTAGAAGAACCCTACTGTGAGAACCCGCCAGCAGCAGATGGACCAATACCCTCTACTGATACACCACCTACATTAAATGAAAATGTAAACGAGCCCATTGCAGATATTCCAGCAGATGCACCTTCTAAAAGTGCTAAACCATCAGGCTGGTCTTTCTGGTTCAGAGAGACTTCACAAGACGCTTCGCAGGTGAAGTCCCAGGAAGTACAGTCCGTTGAAGCTTCTACTGCCCAGGATTCCATAATAAAGAAATCCAACGATGATCCCGAATCCGAGCCGGAACAAAAGGCAGAGCTCTCGAAGAAGGGAACTCTTAAGATAAAATCTCCTAAGAGCAGTTCTGTTCTTCCTGAACAGATTGTTCCTGGGCCAGAATCCAACTCCACTGCTTCTGCAGTGAACGCGTCCGAAGCAACAGCTTCAAAGCATCTACAGAAGATTTTACCTAACCAGGTCCTCCCGCGTTTCAGAGACACTTTCGCTTTGCAAGAGAAGCCTAGTCTGTTACAGACGATAGGGCGATTCTTGCACTACAGCAAGGAGCCAGACAATAGACATGTTTACATGATTAAGGACCCACCACCCATCAAAAGAGCATTGGCCATAGGAATACACGGGTACTTCCCTGCCCCGTTAATTCGGAGTGTCCTTGGTCAACCGACTGGTACATCTATCAGATTTTCGAACATGGCTGCAGATGCTCTTAAAAACTGGGCAGATGATCATGCATATACGTGCGATATTGAAAAGATAGCGTTAGAAGGCGAAGGTCGCATTGCTGAACGAGTTGATTTATTGTGGAAACTATTGCTCAATTGGATGGAAAAGATAAGGCAGGCTGACTTCATACTGATTGCATGCCACAGTCAGGGTGTTCCTGTTGCAATAATGTTGGTTGCGAAGTTAATATCCTTTGGATGCCTTAACGCTGCGCGGGTCGGTGTATGTGCCATGGCCGGTGTTAACATGGGGCCTTTCTCCGACTATCGATCACGATGGATTAGTGGATCTGCTGGTGAGCTTTTTGAATTTGCATTGCCTCACAGCCAAGTTTCAAAGAATTATGAGGCAGCGCTCAAAGCGTCTCTCGATTTCGGTGTACGGATCTCCTATATAGGGAGTATCGATGACCAACTCGTTTCTCTAGAGGTGTGTGCCTCCTGGGTTCATCAGCAGCTTTCGCGCAACGGCTAATATTAGTTTTCAATGACAGTCATCGCTATTTTCGCCGGTGGCTCATCCGTATGTTTACCGAGCAGTATTTGTCGACGGTAGAGTACATGCTCCAAGTTTGTATGTTATTCCTACTTCAAGTGATTACGTTTGTTTTTGGAGCCGCTGCTGATATGTCTCGCAGCCTATCACATTTGGTCGGGTTTGCTCTAAAGCTTCGAAATCTTGGGCTCCCAGATCATGGCCTCATCCGCGAATTGAGTTCGCCTTTAGCAGGTAGTCTGTATAGTGGCGAAGGCCACTCACGTCTCTATGATGACGAGGCTGTGTATCGGTATGTTATTTTTGTTCGAGTTAGAGCTCACTAGGCTAATGTTGTCCTAGGTTAGCTATTGAATTCGCTCTAGAAACGTCGAATGTCCAAGATGCAACGCTTAGCATCAAGCGAAGCCCCCCTGCTTCGTCAGTGAATCCTTACATCCTCCCGTTCGCCATGCGCGGCCTCCTTGAGGAAGAGTACGTCCGACGCGAGCTTTACGAAGAAACAATGGAACTGCTACGACAGTTTGACGACTGGAAACCGACCAGCAAGGTTCTAAAGGATGTAAAGTTCCGATTAGAAGGAATCCGCTCAAAGCTCTAGCCGCAGTTCTGTACTTGACACATACTCTTCCCATCAACTATCCATCAACCCTCCACTGACATCTACTAAATCCCGCTCCCAGCCTGGTGTGGTTTGCTATTGCCCAACTTAGGCAACCTTGTTTTTTGTACACTTCTGTACACTTCTCTGGGTAGAGAGTTTCAAGGGGGAAAAAAGATAGAGCTCATTCCCATGTTACGGTGGATCTTAAATAGAATACTTTGCTTCTGCTGCACAGATATTGATTACAATTTTGGGGACATAATAGATGCGAAACATTCTACCTTTCTATGAACCTGAAGCGCTTTGCAGTCATGAATACTATTAAAGAGCCGCCATTGGTAAGATATTTGAAAGGAGATGATTGTTCGTAGTTATCGTCATTAAATTGGTACAGGTAAATCCCCGTATTTCATAGCCCTAAGATATATAACGCCGCGTATGAATGTTATAAGTTCGCTTTTTGTTTATGGTATGCCCGGTTTATCCATCCATCCCAGTATCCCGACGTACCAGATATCAAACCCCATGGAAAAGAAGTATCGCGCCCCACTGAGATGAAGCAAAAGAACGGTAAAATGGGTATGAGAGCGGACTCGAAAGTCATAAGAAAACGAAAGACGAAATGATCAAGAAGTCAGGAAAATTATGGTTGAGGGAACGCCGTTTGATATGCACCTTCGATTTCATCTAAGTTGATGATTAGTCTGCGGTGCTCATGCTATGTATGGAGCATGGATAGCAATAAGACCTACCTCTCATGCCGTCTAACGCCTCAAAAGCAGCTGCATAATTGGTTACGGTAGCAATTATTCGCTCTAGGCCTTGCCTGAGTTCTTCGATCAATCGATCTGAGGGAGTAGTCTTGTTTCCATAGTCTGGTGACAGCTGCTTTTCTACGCGTGCTTTGTAGAATATCATTAGCATAGCGTAGCTGCCTTGCATCAAACAGCAGGCGAATGATGGCATAGTTCGAGGCAGCTGGTTCGGTGATTGTAACGTCATCCCTTGCGGGCTCTTTGGCTCGTTCATAATGGGTTGCGGTATGGGTAGACTTGGGAACATGCGTGAGATCAACAGAGCAGCCCTAAGGCAGACTTTGGCGGAGTGTTGGATGCTGAAGGGGAATCCACTGGTAAAGGAGTATTGGGAGATTGACTGATAGTCTGAGGACGTGGATGAAGCGGTGGAAGGGGTGTACTCGCTCGACGACTGCTGAAATGGTTCCAAACCTCCGCACGAGCATTGAATGTCGCTGATTCCATTCTGCGCTCTGGAATCCTTGACAGAATTGCATGCTGCTAGGTTGTTGGAATTGGCTGCAGTTAGGTCACAATGTTTCTTAATGAAGATAGGGATGTCTGAAAATGCTCTAAAGCGATGGGTTTTGATTTGTGCGCTAGAACAAGATCAGTGATATGCTGGAATGCGATTTTCGTACAAATACCTACCTGGACAACTTGATTCGGGAAATTGAACGTATACTTTGTGCTGTTGTGAACTCCATACCATCGCCACAATTCATGGAAGGAGGAACAATAGGAAGTAAGTTCGACTGCGCCAACGCTGAGCTCGCCCATGTGTCGAGTTGCTGCATTCGTTCGTAGATGTAAGGCATATTGGTCCTTGTTGATATACATTTGTTTAGATCAATTACAAATTGAGTTGCTGAAACTAGCACTTGCTGAGCTTGCATCAGAACAGCCCAACCCTGTAGATCATGTTAGAGATCGCCTCTTGAGCTGAGTTCCGCACGTAATCTCTAATTGGTGGAAGGGCGCAGGTGAAACTTACATCTGGATCAGCGGCGAAGCGCGGATAGGGCGTTACAAACTGAGGGTCGTTCGCAATAATGGCAAGTGGCTGGTTGACTGCGTTAACAACTAAACCATCAAAGATGTTTGTGTGTGTGTGTGTGTGTGTGTGTGTGTGTGTGTGTGTGTGTGTGTGTGTGTGTGTGTGTGTGTGTGTGTGTGTGTGTTGTTGTTGTTGTTGTTGTTGTTGTTGT